GCTAGTGACGATGATTTCGAAAGCGATAATGATATATTTTATGTTGAAGAGTTAATTGGCAAGCGCACACGCAAAGGTCAAACTCAATATTTAGTGAAATGGTACGGATTTCCTATTGCTGATGCTACCTGGGAACCYGAGACCAACATTTTTAATAAGAAAATCATTGATGACTATAACGCTACCCATTAAACAAGGCCTTATCCTTTTCCAGAATGGCWAAAGCTTCGTCCATTGACTATACATCAGACTCTCCAAGTGCTCCACTGTAYACTGATTTTCATACCGTCTCAATCACCACGCCAACTAAAGACTATTCTACCTACGATATAATCACTGAAGTTCATCCTGTCAAATTGAAAAACGTCTCTCTTTATTATGATACTCGATGCCACGTTAATTGGTCTACCACAAATCCATGCTCTTCATGTCATACAGCACATTCCAAGTTTACCTTATGCCTTCCACCTCTTTTCGACCTGTCTACAATCCRCTTTCTATTYAGTTACATCAACGATCCTACAGTTCACCCTCRACRTCCCTTGGATCGAATTGCTTTGGTTAGGTTGGCTGGATATCTSMTGATTGATTCCGTTTGGTTGGCTCGTCTCCTTCGTACCGTTAAAAACACTATTTTCTTTGCTAAATATTCCCAACATTGCGCATTTATTTTTGAGTTATATCGTAATGGGTACACAAGAATTGCTCGCGCTTATGCTACGCCTGACGAATTTAGTTATCTTAAAGTTTACCGCAACTCTAAGAGGTTTTCTCARGCCTGTCGCACCCTGGAACGTCGATGGTTGAGACTTAAGCAACCACTAGCTCTTAAGAGGTCCCCATCGATGGATAGGCTTGAGGAATACATCTCTTCTTGTTGCAAATTCCGTCCGGCACTTTCCCAAACAGAAAAGAAGGGGTCAGAGACATGATCTTGCATTAAGCATCATGGCTGTGGCGGCCTCGCCCTCTGTGTTTGCGCTCTGCAAGTAACCTTTTGATCACACTTCTTCTCTGTTTGTTTTTTTTTATATATAGAACGAATTTCACTATACCACGTTCAAGACTGCAAGACTATGGAGCCATGCAAGAAATGTCAACAAATACAATCGCCGCACGAGCCCAATCCGTGCGGAAAGTTATATTGCTGCCAAGCACATATTCATGAACTATGTCTTATCTATTGGTTCGCCAATTCAAATTCACACACGTGTCCGTTTTGCAACAAAGCCATCAAGCCTGTACAGATAGACGAGCCTATGCCCGACTATAACAGTCAAGGGCCCTATCCGTTTAAATTTACACATTATCATTATAACCCGACCATCAGACTTCGTGTATTGTTCGCTAAAGCGGCCATGGCCGATTGGGGCGTAACGCTCCACGGCCCATTTTAAGTTATAATCAATCACACACACACAATAAGCACACATATAATCCCCTGTGCCTACTGTGTTCCGTTGTAATCATATTTACTCTCATAACATTCCTATATTCACATAACCTATCTGTATACATATTTATCATTGGGTTTGTGCTAGTGCTGTTGTACTAGTACATTAAAAAAAAAAGAAGTATTATCTTATCTCCGTTTGTTATTCTTTTTCCTTTGTTATGTTAATATATTAGAAATGGCTGATACACTGATAAAATGTTCTAGCCCTTTAGATCCAGCAATATGCAGCTTCCAAGTTATCTGTTCTGGATATTTCTTGCCGGAACACCGACGTTTGCCGTACCTCCATTTGAACGTTTGGATCCCGTTAATGACCAAATCAGATTCTACCCACAAGCTATGATGATCGCTCGAAAACCGCGACCCCTCATCTTCTATAATGACACTAAAATCGTTCACCTCCGCGTTAACCTTCCCGCTATCAAACTAGCAAAGATATCATCCCACGTGAAGCCCTGTTTCACCAATGACCTTTTTCCTGACGTCGCTGATTACCTTCTCCAAAGACTTCAAGAATTAGAAACTCTTATTCAACGACTAGGCTCACTCGAAGGACTTACTAACCTAATTCAGTGTGACCTCTACCTCAAACGCTACTTCAACGCAGAGACCAACTTAAAGCCAAAGATGAACTGCCCTCTTGCCTTTAACGCTAGCCTTGCTCATTGCAAAGCATGGGCTTTAGAGCGCTGTGATCACATCTCTCCTCACGAAGAAACCTGGTTAAAAGGAAAAGCTCGACGCAGAAGAAGCACGAATATCCTCTGCCATGCTGGTTTGTTTGGAATTCCTCGTGCCATTTACGAAGCGACGGGAGGTGATTGTGAACCTAATAAAGTTTCTAACTTAAAGAGTACTCTTAACAAAATGGCCGATRCCATGGAAGACYTMCAAAGTCTGGTTCGAGTTGTTAATGGTAAGACTGTATATCTCATCAAAGTCACAGGTGCCCTTCGCACGCGTTTAAACCAACACGGAAAAAACATTCATACCATTCAYAAAACCYTACAAGCATGGMAGTACATCATCGAGAAACAAATACGMACYCTCTCTTGTCGAGTTAATCAAGATAAACCTCTCTTTATTACCCTTGTTGCACAGATTCATAAAATCTTTGCCCAGCTTATCCGTTTTTTGGAAAATGATGACATAATACACCAGCTCTTCCACCTTAAAGACCTCAAAATTTTTGGCTATACTGCCCTTCCCCAGATCCTCGCAAAAGAAATTTCACAACAGTTATCAAGTGACTCAAATATGRAAAACACTGAACTCGCATTGAAATCTGGATTTTCTTTGCTTATTAACCCTATGATTGATTATGTTTACACTGATAAAGGTYTACATGTTAACATTTTAYTAACYTTGCCTGAAATTGGAGCTCAGCATTCCATGTGCGCAGTAGAATACCTTGAACCCGTTGTCTACAACATCTCTGGACAATGTTACTCCGGACCAATTGATCAAGATAATTTAGCTTTAATTACTTGTGCTGATTCTCGCTCCATTGTTCGAGTAGACACTCTTGCAAAATGTTTTCAAGACAACCACAATTTTGTTTGCCCATCCCAAGTTCTTCGTCAAGTCACTTCAGTTGATTGGCTAGGCTTACCATGGAACCGGTATACAAAGCTTCCATTTGCCCGCACGCATCAAAAGATTGATGATTGTTCATCCTTATACCCTTTGCTTCATCTCGGAGGTCGATATTATTTATCTACCACTTCCACAAAAATGACTTTTCAGAATACCACAAATGAACTAACATTAMAACTTTCTCCTTTGATTATTTATAATTTCCCGTGCACTGTTAAACTTCCAGAGGCAGGAATTGAYGACTGCCCTGAACATTTAGAACTCCACGTTCCCATCATGACAGTAGAAAATTTCAAATATCACCAATGGAAACCAGGTTCCGACAAAACTCTCATTGATCTRCATCTGAAGTCAATCACTACACTCCCTCCGCTGAAGTTCAACAAAACCATCCTGGAGAACTTAGATAAAACGTAYAACCTACTTGATGCTCGCCTTACTCGCCGMTTGTCTTCTATCCGCGAAAGCATTGCTAAGATTCAAGCCACTTGGGAAACCACTACAACCGAAATTCTCGTTTACATCGCCCTACCGTTG